AGGAGGAGGAGGAGGAGGAGGAGGGGTGACAATGTGCCTTCGTTACCATGGTTATGCCACAGTTTCTCCCAAGTGAAGGAAGGCAAAGCAGCAGGTGCAGACGGGGTCAGCACCACGATCCTCAAAACGGCCCCCCGCGAACTTGCCAGGCTATACAGCCCAATTCTATGCAAGACAGCATTGCTGATTCAAGAGCCGCTATCATTCAAGCACGGGATCGGGATTGCGCTCCACAAGAATATTGACAAAGCGGCTTGGAATGAATATTATCGGCTTATCCTCCTCAACAGTGAGGTTTCCAAGCATTATCACAAGTACCTCAAGACATGCCTCTCCAAACTTATTGGCGTGATGCTTCGAGACACGCAAACGGGTGGACGACCAGGACGGTCTACAGCGATGGCGGGCCATATTGTTAATACCTTTTTGTGCACAATGCGAGAAAGAAAGGAATGCGGGTTTATACTGTTCATTGATCTTCGCGCTGCATTCCACCGAGTTATTCGGCAAATGGCTCTGGACACCAGCGGGTATGACCCACACCGATTGGATATTGAATATATCATGGAGCACAGCGCAATGCCAGATGCTCTGAGACCACTGGCGCAGCTGGCCCTATCAACGCCTATACTAATGCAGCACTTGGATAAGGAGCCACACCTCGCCCAGCAACTGATCGAGTCCAACAGGCTGACCCACTTCGGTATGCCGCATACAGACAAGGTTGCAATATCAAGACGCAGCTCCAGACCTGGTAATAGTCTGGCGGACTCGCTATTCAATGTTACATTTACGAGGCCATTATCATTGGCAGAGAGTACGCTAATACAAGCAGATCTGTGCTACCGAGTTCCACCAGCACCTGAAGGAGTTCCTAGGTTCACGAAAGGCCGCGAAGTGAATAACGTGCTGTCGGATGTGTCTTTCGTTGATGACGCGCTGTTCGCAGTTCAAGCCAGAGCAGACGAAGTAAAAAGAAAGATGTGTCGGACCGTGGACATTGTGCACAGCGCGATGGCCGTGTACGGCTTTGAGATAAATTACAAGCGTACCAAGACGGCAATACTTCCTACCCTACATGGAGCTGGAGCAAACTTGGTCAAGCAGCAGCTGTTCTCCACGACTGAACCCCACATCATCACGAAGAAGTACAACATCAAAGTCTTCATTGAGACCAAGTACAAGCACCTGGGCACACATATTGACAAGGACGGGTGCATTGGTACTCAGATTGCACGGAACCTGCAGAAGCAAAAGCAAGCGTTGGGCCCTGTACGCAAGAGTATCAACAAGCTGAATATGATGAAGTGCGAATCCAAACTACGGATAGCGGACGCGTATGCAAACGTGCACTTGGGCTACCACAGTGAGACATGGCCAGCACCAAGCAACAAGCAGATTGACACCCTGGAGGCAGCCCAAGTCTACTCGTACAGATCGGCCCTCAAGCTCCACATGCCGCAGGAAGATGGGCGCCGACGCACGAACGAGTACGTACTATACCAAGCTCACCGACCTCCCGTCATGGCATGCCTGAGGCTACGCCGACTACGGTACCTGACAGCTCTGCTGGAAGGAGGGCCAACGATTTTACTGGCAATGCTGGAACACACGTGGGAGGTCACAAAAACAAAGAATGGATGGGCTGCCCAACTACCTGCAGATTTCCAATGGATAGCTCGGCATTCAGCTAAGGACGAAGAGGACGAGATTGCCCACCGCACCGTCCAGGACTGGATCGACCACATCAAGCACGAGCCGAAGCAGTTCCGCAAGACATTGAAGCTGGTATGGGACAAGTATCGTGCTTACCAACATGACCAGCACCATCATGAAGATTGGAATTACCGACTCGAGCAAATATTGCATGCAGCCGAGGCAGCTGCAATACCACCGCCACCGGAGCGACCACCAGTAGTATGTTATCATTGTGGACGTACATACGAGAATGCTTCTGTTTTAATGGCACATATCAAGCGTGATCACGACGGAATCGATGACGCACAAAGATATGCGACTTCTACGTATTGTCAGGCTTGTCGTACGGAATACCATACGCGACCTCGACTCATCACTCACCTTCGTTACCGTTCTGAGGCTTGTTTGGAAGCGCTACGACAGACGAGCCAAGCCCTGGACGACGACGAGGTACACAAGCTCATGGCTTTAGATCGATCTCATATTGCTGAACTCAAGCGTCAAGGTTACCATGCTACAAAAGCGTTGATTCCTGCAAGAAGGGATGGACGACGACGATGCGAGAGAATGGCCAAACCAAAATTTTTACCACCAAGAGTGCCCCCGGAGATGATTGACGGACCCTCAGACGAAGAAGATGATACAGCCCAACGAGAACACAGGCAATCAGATGAACGACAACGGCAGCCAACACCAGCGCCAGTGCATACGCCGACAGTGAAATATATCTTACACTTGTTCTCAGGGCGACGTCGACGAGGGGATCTACAACACTGGATCGAAGGTATGACAGACTTTCCGTGTGTTGTGCTATCAGTGGACGTTGTCAATTCCAAGAGCCGTGCAGACTTAACACAGATGGAACAAATATTGGCATTTTCTACCATGATTCGAGAAGGATATATCCTTGGAGTAGTGGCCGCGCCGCCGTGTGAAACATGGTCTGGCGCGCGACATGTAGTACTGGATGGAGACTACCAAGGGCCACCGCCGCTCAGATCGGCCACATACCCATGGGGCATGCCACACATTGACATGAAGTACCGCCAGCAAGTTAAACTAGGTAACCTGCTGATGAGAGCTGCCCTGCTACTGGCCGCACAATGCATTGTGACTGTAACGCCGATGTTGATGGAGCACCCAGCACGTAATTGGCGACCAGGTACTGCATCATGCTGGGCACTGGCCCAAGTACGAAGAATGCTAACATTTCAAGACGTGGAGCTCACCACTTTCGACCAGTGTTGTTTTGGAGCCGCGTCAAAAAAGCCGACGACAGTGCTCAGTATTGCATGCCCAAGTTTTGGCAGAACCATGAAAGCTCGGGATGATAGAGGATGCTGCCCACATACGAATGGACATCTGGCGTCAATTGGTAGAGATATACAGGGCAGGTACCTCACAGCCAAGCTGAAAAAATATCCTGAGCAATTATC